TTGAAGTCTCTAATATGTTGTTGTTTTGGAGTTCTTGATATATTTTGCTTTGGTGTTCTTGCAGTATATTTGTTTGGAATCTCTAATATAAAATTTTGACATCTTTGATATGGGTCTTTGAAGTCTTTAGTATGAATCTTTGAAGTTCCAGGCATGAATATTTAGTGTCTTTGGTGTATTGTTTTGGTGCTCTTGATCAGACCTAACAAATAATGGCTGGTTAGGATGTTATAGAGCAGGGTTGGGGCTCTATCAGGATGTAAGTATGAATTTTTAGAGTCCCTTGTATATTGTTTTGATGTTCTTGGATATTTGTTTGGCATCTCTGTTATGAATTTTTGACATTCCTGATATAAATTCTTGGTATTTCTGGTTTGAATCTTTGGAGTTACTAGTATGAATCTTTGGAGTTCCTAGCATGAATCTTAGCATCCTATCAGACCTAACAAAATAATGGCCAGTTAAGATGTGATAGAGCAGGGTTTGGGCTCTATCAGGGTGCAAATATAAATCTCTGGAGTCTCTAATATATTGTTGTTTTGGAGTTCTTGATATATTTGCTTTGGTGTTCTTGCAGTATATTTGTTTGGAATCTCTTATCTAAAATTTTGACATCTTTGGTATGGGTCTTTGGAGTCTCTAGTACTGTATAAATCTTTGGAGTTACTGGCATGAATATTTAGCATTTTTGGTACATTATTTTGGTGTTCTTGATTTTATCAGACCTAACAAATAATGGCTAGTTAGGATGTGATGGAGTGGTGTTGGGGCTCTATTAGGATGCAAGTATGAATTTTTAGAGTCCCTTGTATGTTGTTTCGACATTCTTAGATATTTGTTTGGCATCTCTGTTATGAATTTTTGACATTTCTGGTATAAATTCTTGGTATCTCTGGTTTGAATCTTTGGAGTTTCTGGTATGAATCTTTGGAGTTCCTAGTATGAATCCTAGCATCCTATCAGACCTAACAAAATAATAGCCAGTTAAGATGTAATAGAGCAGGTTGGGGCTCTATCAGGGTGCAAGTATAAATCTTTGAAGTCTCTAATATGTTGTTGTTTTGGAGTTCTTGATATATTTGCTTTGGAGTTCTTGCAGTATATTTGTTTGGAATCTCTGATATATAATTTTGACATCTTTGGTATGGGTCTTTGAAGTCTTTAGTATGAATATTTGAAGTTCCAGGCATGAATCTTTAGTGTGTTTGGTGTGTTATTTTGGCGCTCTTGATCAGATCTAACAAATAATGGCTAGTTTAGGATGTGATGAAGCGGGTTGGGGCTCTATCAGAATGCAAGTATGAATTTTTAGAGTCCCTTGTATGTTGTTTTGATGTTCTTGAATATTTGTTTGGCATCTCTGTTATGAATTTTTGACATTCTTGATATAAATTCTTGGTATCTCTGGTTTGAATCTTTGGAGTTCCTGGTATGAATATTTGGAGTTCCTAGCATGAATCTTA